TCTTGGTCAGGTTTGCTGCTGAAGTGAATTCATCACCCATAATCACCAAAAGTACGTGTCTGTCATCAGGAGCGTCAAATTTCCCGAAATTCAAGCATCCAGTGTGCCTAGTCCGTTTGTCAAAACTTTCGTAATGATCGACTTGTCCTCTAGCCTTGAATTTCATAGCCAAAAGAAGTCTTTTCCTCGCTAATTCCCTTGTTTCACAAACGCCAGCAGCTATAACCCACCACAAAGTAATCTATAATATCTGTGAAAAAATTCAACGGCTTTTGAATAAAGTCGGTTGCCCAATGTGTGTCAACTGCAAGCTAGTTTGCCACGTAACCCTTGGATTTAAAGCTACACCTTCCTGGTATGGTCATAATTCGCACAACTTTAAAAGGCAAGGACACCATATTTTTCTGGATTATTCATACCAGAACTGCAAGTTTATGTGCACTTTTGACAAATGAGTTTGAGCCAGCCAAAAGTTCAACATTTGATTAGATATTCTCTAAAGGATTTTTTCGACATGATGATTGGTCCTATCTGGCAATAGTACCTCACTCGAAGCCTATGGACATCATTAGGTCCGTGACACGGTATGCTGGCAGTTGAGCCGGAAACACCAAGAATCACCATGATTTGTCTTGTACGATTTGTCTTGTACAATATCCATGGGGATACCGGGAGACAGAGACAAGTTGGCGATGTCGTGAGTTTCCAATTTCCAAAAGGGTTCTACATAAACTTTATTGTTTGTAATCAAAATGGATAGGCAATGACGGCAAAGAAACTGATAAACTGAATGAGCTGAAGCTACTCGAATTCAGACAACCACTAATAATACGAAAGCAAACGAGGGCTTTTAAAATCCCTTTGTGTAAGAACCCCATAACAAAAGCTTCACAACTGGGTCAGCTTATAACAGGTTATAAAAGGTTTAAGAATTACCTTCTCTGTACACTTGTCAATCTCCTGTCAGGGCTGCTCAGTCATCCGTTATCCGATAAATCGGTTAAAAATGCACCGCAATATCTACATGCAATATCCACGTGACGCTGTTGTTCTTGTTGACCTTCTCCTAAAAGGAGGCGCGGATTGAGGGGTACTCAAGAGTCGCTCACAGCCTACGCCATAACTTGGTTGACAAATTCTATTAGGTTCAGAGTCCTCAGTATGCTACGAGGTGTTTGCTGGCTGAAGAATGGCTGCCAAATGTGAGTCGATCGGCGGCTAATCCCAATGAATAAAAACAGTGGACGAATTCAGCCCTCAAGTTATTGAAAGTAATCCAGTCTACCTATTCAAACGGCGTTCATGATATTCATGTAGGAAACTCGTAAAATTTACAATCAGGTCATTAAGCCCGATTTGTGAAGAACACACCGTAGGAAGATTGTTGAGCTTGACATTCTTGTCTGTCCAAGATTTGGCAGATTTTTCACTTCCCACGTGTAAATCTTTCCAAATCTGTTCGGTCATATGCGTCTACGATACAGAAAATGTATGAGTAGACCCATGTGATTCTGTGATACAAAACAACACGTATGGGGCAAACTGTCCTCTCAAAATGTATTCGTGGAATATTGGGGGACCTACATGGTAGGAGTAAATGTTTGCTCCATCCGGTGCTTGGCTTTACATGTGTGCACAGCTTCAATTACTGCTTCACTGTTATTCAACTCTGCGGAAAACTTAGGTCCTAATCAATCTGACAGCAATGCACGGTGCGGTTATAAAAAAGACTTCACGGATTTCACGGATAACTAGAGAGGGGAATTCATTAACCGTGTAAACGTTATAAAATGTTGTTCCAACAACAAGGTCGAAAATTTTGAACAGAATGTCCAAAATACTGCAACGCTATCAAATTTGTTTTCAACTGTAAGCATTCCGGTTATACTGTGAGGAGAACGTCTTTCGTTCTCATCGATTTGCCTCCGAACTGCTTGCCGGACCATTCTGAAGACGCATTAGAGGGGCCGATCGTCCCTAAGCCAGTGACTAAGGGACAACGCAAATCAACGTTATCAAACGGACTACTTGGGGAGCCAGATTTCCAATAAACCAATGATTTGACTTCTTGCTATTCCGCGTTAGCGTACAACAATGACAATGCCGAAAAAAATTTGCCCAAGTGATATTCTTCTCATTCTCAGCAGCAAGTATACTTACTCCAGCGTTGAAACGTTGCCAAATTCTGTTCAGCTTTCTCCACAATAGCAGAAATCAGTTGATGAGCTGCAAAAGCGGAATAAATATACCGGAGTTAGCCAAGAATGCCATGCGGTTGTCAAAAGTCAGTTAAATCTATGGCATATCCACTAATTATGGCCTGATTAAACTTATTCCGTTGCTGATCTTCATTTGTAATCATGGTGTCATGAGTATGATTCACCGGATATTACTCGCCTTCCCGCATTACTGATCTTCATTTGTAATCATGGTGTCATGATATTAATCACCTTCCCGCATTATCGTACAACCTTGGTTTTATTTGTGCAGGACAAGTGGTGAATCCCGAAGCTTGGTCCAGTACAGATGAACCAGATCGATTTTGCCTGGCACACTAAGACTAGCAGCTGTCGTCCTGGCAACACTCATGATATTCATCAGAATAAGCAAACTTAAGTTTGCTGAAAAGACATCTTCCTTGCACGTAGAATTCCACATTTGTCTTCAATACACGACTTTCTCCCAGGGTTATTGATGTTATTTAGGGGGAGAGGCTACACATCTGACTCAGTTTTGGGCGTGAAGGCAATGTATCCTGAGTCGACGCAACGGCAGGACAGAAAAAAGGTTCTGAGTACCGCTTTACTCCTCTGGCGGTCGTTAAACTTAAGCAGATTTCTTCACCTTGCGATGTGTCCTATACCATTGCCCTTTCGTTACCAAGACGGGCAAGTTGTTGCCCGTGTGTACTTTATTCAGGTTGTATTTCGGCGAAACTGTAAAGTAGTGGTAGCCCACGTGGTTGCTAGGGATTCCGCTGAGATTGGTACTTGATTCAAATCTTTTCGTTACAATTCGAACAGACATCATCAGTGTCACTGGAGATTAGTTATAGGTTGATCAGTCGGCAGATTTCTCCCTTCTCGAAAACTCTGTTTGGTACTTCAGTGCTACCCAGTGAATCGGCAGCGGCTCTCTTTGTGCGATTAAGATCAACCGATGTAAACGGTGAGATCACGTAGGATGTTACGATCAGCTCATCATCATCAGTCCTTACGTCACTCAGTTCCTCCAACTGCTGTGAACCGCCAACTATAAACAAGGACCTGCTGATGAAATATATTTCCTGTCTCAAAAATGCCTATGACATCTTAAAATTCGCGGTTCTTACTCATATATATATAATGTGTGTACTTTCGTAGAAACGCGGGATGCCTTCATTATACGCTTGCATCCTCCACTATCATTCGCTGGTGATTCTTCGACGGCGTGTGCGCATACTTAAGCCACCATTAACTTTGTCTGCAAGTTTTTGGTTTCGCAGTTTTGCAGACGATGACCTGTAGTCGTGCTATCTAGTGGGATGCGGTTTTGCTTAAGTTTTCTGAGCATGGGGACTGTCGTACTTTCTTTACTGGCTGTCTAAAAAAACAAGAGTTTGATCCTTTCCATAATTGCTTCACGCTTTTAGTTTCTGGCTTAAGCAGACGTTATCTATCCTCCTGCTTAATTAAGCTGTTCGACGCAGCTGTTGCTGAACTTTTCTACTGAGCTTTTTTGGACTTCATTGCGGTTTCTTCAGTCGAGATCCGTGATATCTTCGAGCACGAAACCGAATCCATTGATGAATACATTTTTCTTCACGTCTGTGAATTTTCCATTGGCGAAATCATCTGAAGCAATGATGAGACGAATCCATTGATGAATACATTTTTCTTCACGTCTGTGAATTTTCCATTGGCGAAATCATCTGAAGCAATGATGCTTACATTACAAACAGTTGTCGAGCTATTCGGGCAGACGAGCATACGACATTTTTTGCCATGCTTTACAACATTTTGAGGTAATTTTCATAGGGGAGCTCAAATTTCAAACTTATCTTGCGAAATTTCTATACGTTAACAAAATTACAGAAAATTCACTGGTGTATTGGGCTTCGCACATCCGTGGTAAGCTAAATGGTATTAGTAAATCGAATATTTAACGCATCTGCTTTGCGTATCAAAACCTTCAAGCGTTTGCATGTTGTTGTGTATCTAGTCAAGCCAGCGATCCTCAGGGAAATCGATGTTCCCCTTTTGTACTTTGGTCGTTCAGTAATCCCGTGAACAAGTTGTCATTTTCATGGAGATTAGGAGAAGATACACGCAACACAGCAGAACGCGTCCTAAAGCCGAGAACCCTTCGTGATTTGAGGAACAAAATCGAGGCAACGGAAACCGGCTTCATAACGTCGATTACGATTAATTACACACTACTTACAATGCTCAGGTAGTTAAATTGGTTAATAACTTTATCGTTATTGGTGATTGTCCCTCCAGCGTTTTTCCCTCATTCCTTGCAGATCCGTGTGGGCGTTGTGTACCAACGTAATTTCTTTTTATGACGCACTATGATAGATTTCCCCCGTAAGTCAATTCTTTTACATTAGGCTGACAGGATATCCCACATGCTAACATTGTTTACTTACATACACTTGACCGTCTGCATCGTTGGACACGTGCATTCGAATTCACAGTACGCCTCGAATACGCTTAGTGTAGAGTGATAGTTTATTCCTATGTCTAATGGGAAATGAACGTACGGCCGGATTTTTATTGGTTTTGTTACTATCCTCACTGCTGATTATAACGGTGGTGATGGTGATGGTAGTGGTGATGACTATGAGGACTATGCTGACTTGCTGCATGACCCTGGTACTCAGGTCTGGCAAATTTTATGCGTTACATACTCCGCGGTGCTATTATTTTTCGCTGTGCTTCTTTGATACCGTAGCTGCACTACGTCCACTGAGGTTTTTGTTATAAAGAGACATAGAATGTGGAGTAGTCTTCCTTAAATTTCATATAGTTTGAAGATGGGGTGACACTTATTCTTTCTACACATTGTAAAATTCCTGAATGATAAGTTCCAACAACTTCGTTCCAGGTATACTGAGGAAAGATGCAGTTGTTTCGAAACGCCAGAACGCCTAAACAGCAAGTGAATTCAGTTTTCCATTTTGCAGATCATCCGCCTAAATGCAGGGTTTCCGTCTGCTACAGCCTCGTTCACTGAGGGAGAGCAGGATAGGGTAATCAGAGCCAAGTTTTGGGACGGTATCCCAATCAGTCCAGTGACGTCGCATGGTTCTGTTCGCCCAATGTATGAAGAGTATTGGATACCCGAGGTGTTAAAGGAAGGCAAAGTAGATGTAAGGAGCATATCGACAACGAAGTTGAGGAGAGAGAGCGACGGAGAACCCTCTTGCTCTCCACAACTCCATGTGGTGAAGTCAGCAGGGTAAAGTCAGACAGGTACGTGTCCACGGCCACCCGGGGAAGAGATACAGAGCTTTTGTGAGAGACAAGAACTTGGAAGGGGCTCGTTTCTCTGCCAGACAGCCAAAAGTAGATGTGGAATCGAGAAGGATGCCAACTGTTGGTCGTCCGCAGTGGTGCAGTTCCATCGCTTGTCACAAAGTGATCCAACCCCATCCGGAGAGAAACCGTGCTTGTGCAGTTCCATCGCTTGTCACAAAGTGAAGACAGGGTTGATGCAACCCCATCCGGAGAGAAACCGTGCGTGATCCTCACAAATAAATCCCTCTCAATGTAGGAATCAAGCTATGTAGGATAACATCAGGGAACAACCCTGAAAGCTACACCCGCTAGGCATATGCCCCTATGATTTTCGCATGATGACCTCGCACTCTTTTTGAATATGGAAATCACCTTCAAGGTACTCCATTCTGTTGGTATTTTTTCTTCATGCCAGAAACTTGGAGTAAATATGTGACGCTAGCCACGAGGGACCCGCCACTCTTGGGGACTGCAGGATGCTAGCCGTCTGGTCTAGGTGCTTTGTTGCGCTGAAGCAATGAGATGGCACACTGTAGTTTTGTCATCGACTGCGGATTGATTTTGAAGTTTCACTCGGTTTTATTTCGTCCATTTAGAGGGTGAGATGATGCTCCAAGGGAGCAAGTGAGGAGATTCTCCACCAGTAAACGTAAAGAGAAGGACCAAACGGTGGTTTGCTCAACCTTGAGAACAACATGAACAATCATGCGTACCTGACTACATTTGCTAGAATGTTGTCTTTGCAGTCATTTGTTAGTTTTGCCTGTTTGAAAGGCCCTAACAATGGCTCAAATACAAGGCATTACCCCTGCTTAAATTCCGGCTTCATTTCAAACCGAATGATGCTTTCCAATAAAGAGGCACAAGCGTGCGATACACGTCAACCCTAGAACAGTGTTCGGAATAAGTTCCACTCACCGTCTTCATAGATTAAATTCATGAGCTCCTCTTTTTCTTCATCATCATCCTCGTCAGGAACTACCTGCGACTGGAAGTGTTCCTCCTTCTCATCACCCTGCATGTCCGTTTGTTCCTCGTCGATCTGTTTTCTTTCTGCTTCCAACTCACCATCACATTCTCGGTTTCGAATTTCTAAGGGAATAAACAATGTATTCAGTCAGTCATCAGAGTATTCTTCTAAAAATTGGGCCCTCAGTGAAAGTGATACTGGATGAATCAGAGTGCTAAACGAGTGCAGCATGTACAGTAACACCATCAAAAGAAAAACGATCGGATTGGGGCCTTTCAGCTGCAGAAAATTCTATGTCAACATCATGGTCTCTTGTTCTCCTGTACATTTTAGAAAGGTTTATTAAAACCTATTGTTGGGTATGGCTAATAAATGCAATCCTGGGGTATAATTCATACTTCATCTCTGTGGAATATCCTCATTAGTCACTGTAAAGTGACACAATAGCCCTATATCAAACCAAACCACGCCTATACACAGGGGGATCAAAAACGATCTGTACCGCGATTCAATTCATTTATGAAGGGCCGGATTATTTTAGCTGGACTTGAGTGAAACAGAAAGAAAACTCGAAGGTGCAAGTATAACATAAGGTTGACGGAAACTCGGAGACTGCGCCTACCTGATGAGCCCCCAAAAGGGAGAAACCGGTCGGGGGTCAGCAACCTTGTGGGTAGTTTTCTCTCTGAAAAACTCGAAGGTGCCTTTTCCATTAGGTGGCCTCAAGCGGAACACACGCAGTTAGATTCAGATTGTTAATGGTTGCTGATGATGATGCTCTTGGAATCCGGCTAGTTCACACACAGTTATGTGTAACTTTTGAGCAGGTGCGAGCCAACGGCTATTTTAGCTAAACTCACAAGTGACGATGATGCATTCGATTTTACTGAGTAAATCCTTTGACCCCTTTATCTCCTTTAATTGTTCACTTCTGCAGATACCCTAAAACACATGGTTGTTTTGTGTGCACCTTTTTGACCGAGACTTTAGAACTGATGAATAAGGTGTTTCGGTATCGTTTCAAAGCCAACTATGGCCAGCCTGAACGAACATATTGAAGGTTGCGCTCCGTAAGAGTCTAGCTTACGATCTACCGTTACTCACTGTTACGGTACACTGCCAAATTTCATCCCAATTTTGCGTCGGCTTCCCACTCATCAAGAATATACTGATCCGAGAGTCAGATAAACCAGACTGACTCTGCAGTCAGTAGTCTGAAAATGAGGTGTGCCCTAACTCAGCGCAGCTTGTATCGAATGCCTGCATGGGCCACCCTACCTCGTGTGTTTCCAGCTCTCGGTGAGTTAAACTAAATGAGTTTAGTCAAAGGGTAGAAAACCTCATCAGATATCAGGTAGAGAATTTACAAGAATATTGCTTTGGTCAACGGGCATGCAAACGCACAAAAATGAAATATTGGAGTAACCTAAGTATAGGAACACTCCATGTTTTGGTTTGGTTCGCGGTAATTTTAATGATATTTTCCGGCTTTTTTCCTCTTATTTCTTACTGGTCACTTTGCCATACTTACTTAACATGACAGTTAGACTGACCCTTCTCGTTTCCTGTTTCAGGAGAACCACTGGATCATTTTCGAATTCGTGGGCGTTTGCATCTCCGAACGCTTGCTTTGTTGATATATTATAAAGGGTCTCAGTAAGATGGAGCTTAGGTGCCTTGTTGAGACGGAACAGAAGCTAGGTTTCGATAGTGTTAGAGGTATTTAACACTGTGTTGCCCTGTTCAAATATCTTGTTCACTAATGGCAACGAGTAGCAATATTAGGGATTCCAGAATCCAGAGGCTGAAGTGCATTTGCAAAACGATTAGGAGAGCAGTTACCATTATGGGGTAGGAAACTTTAGGAAGTGCGCATAGTGGCAAGAAGTCTCGTCGACAAGACTCGAAAAGTACACGCAGACATCGGAATATATAATATTGTCATTCGCCGCCAGATGAACAAAGTAATATTGCTTAAGATTCTCTACTTGATTTCTTATGGGATTTGCTATTGGTTGAGCAAACTTTATCTCCTTCTATTCATCGACGCCGGAATTATGGAGAAACACCTGGGTGGTCCCATTTTTTTTATCGCGCGTTAGCGTTATAGCTTTATGTAGAACCGAACAGATTAAGTGGTTACTTTGTCGATATCCCATCTTATGCTTCGAATGATTATCCAAGAGGCAGATTTGACCGGTTAGAGTTGGACGCAGGCCGAATATCAATGCGAAAACTGAAGTGCACCGTACAAGACCATAGAGTGAATCAGGACAATATATCCTATTTGTGAGCGCTAAAAGCTGGCGGTTCGTTGAAGTGACGGAATGACATCAATGTGTTTTACAAACAAAACACTTCTTTCATCATAAAATAAATGTTTTTTTAGATTTTAATAGCTTACCGTTCCATTGCCAAAACGCACAACGCGTAAAAAATCTTACCTGAAATATGCAAGTGCAGTTCATGTATCTGACCTGTCCGTTGCCCCAGTAACCATCTGTATTTGTAAACAAAGGCAACAGAACTCTTCAGTAGGAAAGGACAAAGGAAATTCACCGCGATTTATTTTGAGACGGTTTCAGTACTAAATGTAATTGGCAGGTTTAGAATTACAGTTCAGGCAAATTGAGAATGACAGACGTGTGTTACTGTTCCCTTGATAGAAGCAAGCCCAAATCGGGGATTATTTCACACGGTTCCCTTTTTTATCACGTGTTCGTAACACGTATGGACCTGATGGCAATTATTCCGGCGCAAATGAGCTAGCAAGTGGGTATAAAACTGGTGGTTCGGACCGTTGACTAGGAGACAGCATGCAGGGCGTTGCTGTGGTAACGAACTGCGACACCAACCCATGAATCAAACTGTATGGTTTGCTATATTTTGCACTGAACAAAACCCGCTCATGGCTTTGAAATCATGAAGTTAGACAACTTACAACTTATCTAGAATCACCCCGTAATGTAAATGATTGCGGAGCGACAAACTGATAACCTGTATTCGACTTCCAGAGCATATCACATGGTCATGTTTACCACTGTCGTCACGAAGAGACTGAACCTTACCGTGGTGTAGTGGTTTGTGCACTTCGGTGACCCACTAAGCTATACTGCGGGGTTTCCGCGCGGCATCAGGTTGGTCCATGGGTAGAGATCTGACGAACACAGTCTCCTGGCCCTCCAGGTTAGGGATTGGGACATTCGGCGACTTGTTCCGTAAAAATGGCAATGTACTTGCATTTCCAGCCCAACATCGCTGCCTTGTGGTTAAGCTTTTGAGCCATAGGCTTTGACTGATGACCCTAATCGTCCTCCTGTCTAGATATGAGCTCCCTGGCAGTATCCCAGCCCTCGCACAACCATGACATGCAACTAACAATACTCCCATGCCACATCGGCCGTCGCGTGGTGCCATGAGCCGGATCGCCTTACTTGCTGCATACAGTAGGGCGGGTAAGCGGAAACAGGCTACTGCTGACGTCTCCCTTATTGCACTTTAACGTTTTCCTTCTTTCACCCTCCCCGCCCAAATTTGAATACTTTTTCCGCAGATACCAGCTCTAGGCTGAACTTTTTGCTCGTCCTTCATCACACTCAGCGGCAGCTTCTGCACGTCCGAGTTCAGTTACAACCCCAAACACTTCGAAGTCTGTTTTCAAACCTCGAAAGCCTGTTCACTTAGCCATCTTCAGTGTTCGCACACTGAAGCAAGCAGATCAATAGGTGGATCTTGTGCGTACGCTTATTCCCTCAATATTGATGCATGTTGTCTGTCAGAAACAAGGACGCAGGACGCAAGTAGTGGAATCGAACTGAGTGTCCCCTCGCTCTCTTCCAGGTTCCGGCTGTGCACCTCTAGTGATGCAGACGCCGCTGCAACTGGATATGCTGGGGTGGGTATTGTATTGAGCAAACGAGCGGAAGCATCTCTGCTTGATTGGATACCCGTTGATAGTCGCCTCCGTGCGGTTCGTTTGGCATCATCTGTGAAAGAATCTAGAGGAATATGCCAAGGACAGTTTCTATGACGCTCAAGGTGCCCTTCTACAACAGGCTAAAAGCTCAGATATCTTTGTGGTTGCTGGTGACCTCAACGTCCAGGTACGTAAACTGAGCGCTGCTGAGACCCAAGTGGGTGATCGTCCTGATCCAGAAACGAGACGCACGAACAACGGAGACAGCTTACTTCAGATGCATGCCGATCACAGACCGTTCCTTTGCAGCTGAACAGCGGAAATCGCTTGACAACGTGGTGCCCACCAACAAACCAACGCCGCACCGAAATGGACCACATCACCGTCAGTTATTGGTGGCGAGGGTCGATCACCACCTGTCGCTCCTTTTGGAACACCGGCGTGGACCCCGACCATGCACTTGTACGCTGCTGCTTTTCATTGCGCTTTTCAGGTCTACGCAAACCGCGCACACCTCGCTTACCCATTGAGAAGCTAGTGGACCAAGAAGTCAGACGAAAATATCAGAATCAGTCCTTCAAATTCCTGCCGGACGGTACGGTGTCGGATATAAATGACCACTGGGAAAAAATATCCAAAGCGCTACTCAAAGCCGGAACATCTGTTTGCGGTACAACTCAGTCAACCTCACCCAAGCATTGGATCTCTGATAGGACCATGTCTTTGCTGGAGACCAGGCGACAGATTCCCCCTGGCCGCCACCACAACCCCACCCGGCGCATCATCCGACACCAGGTGAAAGTGAGTGTCCGCATAAACCGAGAGGCTTGATGGACTCGAAAGGCTGAGTAAATGGAAGATGCAAAGAATGCTGGAAACGTGCACAAGCCGTTCTACTTGATTCGTTCGGCTGGTCCCTGGAAACCTCTTGTCGGCGAACTAGTAAGAGACCAAAATGGCAGAACGTTTGGACCGCTGGGCACAGTACTTCGAACAGCAATTCAGCTGGCCACATGCTAACTCCAATCCAGAAACTTGGCCTTCAAGAAGAAGGTGGACCGTAAATGTGGAGCGGCCTTCAGTCTCATAAGTGTCCTGCCGTTGGTCCTGACGACCTTCCACATGCTCTCTTCAAGGATGGCGGTGGATTCCTCAGACAGTGCCTGTCCAGCCTGGGTGAAGGAGACCGTCCCAGACAACCGGAGTGAGTCGATAATAGTATACATTTTTAAAAAGGGTACTCGCAGTGAATGTAGTAACCGCAGAGATGTTATTTTGACTCCTGGTATTCTTTGACTTCAAGGGTGCGTTTGGTTCTGTTGATCGATCGGTACTGTTCACTACACTTGCTCAACAGGGTATGCCCCAGAATTTGTGAATATAATCCGATCCCTATATTCACATGCTTCTGGGCAGGTGAGTATGTATGGTGAGCTCTCCAAAAGCTTCCCTACAAAAACTGGTGTCAGGCAAGGATGTCCACTCTCTCCACCCTCGTTCATCTTCGTCATTGATGAAATAATGAGATGAACACTGGAAACCTTCAAAGCCCCGGTGTTCAAATTGTTGCTGGTGGGAGTTTTGTCGGTCTGGAGTACGCAGATGACATCACCCTCATCTTTGAAGGCGAAAACGAAGCACAAGCCCTGTTGAATAGACTGACCACCATCATACCATCTTTTGGCATGCGCCTTGCATCTTCAAAGTGCAAAGTCATGCTTCAGAACGTGCAGTCTCCGAACATACTCCGTACAATTCAAGGAGAATCACTTGAGAATGTGGAAAACTTTACATACCTTGGTAGCTGTATTAGCTCTGACGGAAGTGCATCTGATACAGTCAGTGCAAGGATTTCAGAGGCTCCAATCAGTCTGTTAATTTGCGTCACTTGTGGTGTCAAAAAGGCATCTCACTAGATCTTAAGGGTCATGTGTACCAGGCTACAGTAAGGGCTATGTTGTTGTGTGGATGCGAGACATGACCTCTGTGGACAGATGATATGAGGCGCCTTCAGGTTTTTGACCACCGACGCCTCAGAAGCGTGGTTGGTTTTGGATGGCATCAGTGTGTCAGTAATTAGGTGATTAGAAAACGGGTATTTGATCGTACCGGAGATACTTCAATCCGGGAAAACATCCAGCACCACCGACTACAATGACCTCGTCATGTGCTATGCATGCCGAAACACTGTCTACCGAGATGAGAGTTGTTTTCCGTGCCTTCTTCAGGATGGCGCGGAGCCAGAGAGGTGGACAGCACATGACTTGACAGAAAGGCGTGAAAGAGATAACGAAGAGTTTGGGTCTTGTTGCTGTTGTACGCCTTCAAGGATGGGGTCCCCCTGACCCCGTGTATGCTTGGCAATAGACTTTGAAGGAAATGGCGGCTAATCGGTGTCAGTAATGTTCGTGTTGTCATTTTCTTTCCAGATTGTCTGATTGAGCGGTTGGAGGTGTAGGCACCTCAGAATGCTTGAAGTAGGCCAGCACTATGTCCCCCCTCACCCACTCTCTTTCTCTACTTTCTACTCTAGGGCTTTTATTATAATTATATACATACCTATATAACTAGACGGACCCTATGATTGTGAGGCACCGGTGCCAACACTGATGTTGCTGTCTTTGATTATGATGAGGATGATGATGTTTACCTCTCCGGAGGCTTCCTGGGCCCACCCACGTGAGCCGATTGGTCAAGTCGCACGGCAGAAGTACCGGTTGGCTAGAGGCAGCGCACCACTGACATAACTTCTTGTTTATTCCACTATGAGAATCGAGTAACAGCCTTATGACTCACGTGTTTGCCTGAAAATGAAAATAATGTTCCGATACCGGGTCCCATATGATTACCCTGGTGCAAAATGGCCCTGTACGCGCATCGTCCATTTGGGAGGTCACATCAACGGGGCCCAGGAGACAACGGGTCAGTTCTCCAAGGTATACTGCTTCCAAATAGGATTCATAGATCTGTAAGAATTTAATAATGTACAACTTATATGGTGCCTCCGGCAAATCGAGTAATAGTATCAGGTGTAATGCAAATGAACAGATCTGTTGAGTAAACTGAGGGAGCATTGGCGCAGACAACCAAATTCACCAGTGCACCTGAGACCAGAGCATCTACCGACCGTTCAGACTCTACACTTTTGCTACTTTAGATGTTGCCTATCCATTAGGAATTGCCCATCACTTATCTAGCACCGAAAAATGCACAACGCACGGATATTTTTAAGACTCAGTCTGCAGACAACCTGGAACTATGATCGAGTTCAGTGCCAACATAGATGCACAAGTAAACTTAGTAGGAACCGTAGGGTATCCTACAAAAGTAAATCGTAGAATAAAGCACGACATTCTTTGTCTTAATAATTTCAATTTACAGTTGACAGCTGTCAGGGTGTGTGAGGCAGAGGAACCTTACCTGTTTTCAGCCTTCAATTTCGTCAATGTATCAGTGGGAGCAGCAAGCCACTGAAGCCGAACTAAATGATTTATGCTTCGGAATCTCCCGAAAGAAAGCTGTTACCGTTACAGACAACAATGAAAGCAGACAAATGTCGATGAGCAGACAGAAGTATAACGCCCACATTTAAGAGTGGCAACGCAGTATACTTAGCCAATTGTTAATCGGTAGCCGATTTGTCAGGGATATCCAGAACGAAGAGAGTAGAAATACATGAAATATACGACCCAATCGCCTCCAAATCATCACGCCTAACATAGACATTTAATTTACTGATACTCGAGGACGAGTGGACCGAAGCAGCAGTTGCTGGTACCTAAGCCCGAGAAATCTAACTTAAGATCCACCGTCCTCGTGCAAATTGTAGGCGTCGATGAATCGTTGCGAGGATAGGTATCGATAGGCATCGGTTTCCCTTTAAACTTAAAAGAGATCGTTCAACTTTAACACCCTTTCTGTGCTTAGTTGTCATCCCACCCGAGAAAAGCACGAGAGCTGTGGCACCATCAGGTTGCCAGAACCTAGAAAAGAGCCTTTGAGATGTTGGGGTTGGGTTCGAAAAACCAACCTTCCGATCAGTAAGTTCGAGCCTCAGTCACTGAGCTATCTTAGCTTCAGCTTACCTACATACAGTTGCGCTTTCCAAATTTAGCCATTCAGGCTTAAACGTGACGGGAAAACCATTGGATTATCTCAAAGACGAGTAATCAGGCTGATAAAAGGCTTACCGGATGCATGCGGTAAGGCTTAAGACCTGTGGTGTGTTTTCTGGATGATATCGGGAGTTTAGAGGCTATGTGATTCCCGTCAATTAGATAGTGAACGAGCTAAACATTCGCACCACTGCATTTTAATTGTTCCACAAAATCTTCCCTGAAGAGACTCTTTAAATACACTAGCTAAGGTTAGATCAAAATTTTAGCGGATTAGAATGTTTCAGAAACCCTTTCTCGTTTGACGTTGTCAACTTTGGAATGCTCACTTTCCTGGAGCTGTTTTAGCTTAATTAGTCAGCTTTTTTATGGAGCAATCCGCCACACATTTTCGATAACCAAATCAGTGTATACAAAGTAATATTGCTAACATGACTAGTTGAGTACCATTAACTCTGTTTCACTTACGACTTGTGTGTACGGTGATGTTGAAAAGCCTTGACAAACTTTTGGGCACATGCTTTTGTACTCATTTTTCAATGATTGGAACTGGGCAGTAATACTTTAAAGGCAAGCTCCTAGTAAATTACCCACAAGACTATCAGCTACCTTGCACTTTGAGCTAGATTAACAGAGGGTCTCATTGTCATTCACGAAAAAAAAACGGTAGAAATTTCTGTCTTTGCAACCAGAGTTCGAAGAATCTGCAGATACAGATTTGAACGGAGAAATCGTGCTCACCCGAAGAAATTATCTCTCAAGAACAGCGAAGTGAATTCCGTTTCCAAGGAAAATTGGTAGTTTTACTGAACAGGTTTTCGTTTACTTTGTCGTACGGTGTTGTATTATGTGAAATCTGAACACACAAAGCTATCTGACAACTTGAGTCCAGGTCGACCCGATGGTCGGACAACAAGCCGAGTTTCATTATCAACGGCAAGGAGGATCACGTAAATAAAGTAGTCCACATCCTCGCAGACGAACAGAAGTAAGCAAACCCAAGAACAATCTGTTGATCAGGGAGCGCAGGATTCAGGGTCTAGGACTGCTTGGGCTTCTGTGTGCCAAAGCTGAGTCACACTGTGGACATCTCGGGTTGATTGGGATCCAAACGCCACGAGTTAGGGGCTCATCTAGGATCCACGAAGACAATGAGCCCTCCATAAACTCACCCATTGACTGGTCAGCATTTTTGTCCTCATCTCGGAAGGTTTTACCCTATCATGTTCTGAAAGAGCCTTTTGAAATGTCAGAATTCTACTGGCGAAAGTAGCTTTACCCCTGAATCCAGCCTGACTTTTCGCATAAGGCTATCAGCGTTAAGTTCTGGCGAATCAACTTCACGACTAACGAAAGTACTTGAACTACTGTCGTTTCACAAAATGGGTTGAAAAATGTAGGTTTTGCCAGAACCATTCGTGATGGGCTTCTAGCAAATATTGTACCTCAGAGCTGCTAAGTACGAAGGGTTATACAGAAACCTTCATACAGCCATGAAAACCTTTGTTATAACAGTTTTCCAACAGTCGATTGTTGTAGCCCAACTGTGCAGCAACACAGTCCTTGATGGACAGATGGAAGATTGATAGGTGGTCACAAGGTTCCTAATGTCTTCTGTTTGGCGACTCATACCAGAAAATCACGAAATTTGTTCTTATTAGTTTGCAACATTTCTTCAACCTCGCCACACGTTTAATGACCCCCTAAATCGTGTATTTATAAAATCACGAAATTTGTTCTTATTAGTTTGCAACATTTCTTCAACCTCGCCACACGTTTAATGACCCCCTAAATCTGTGTATTTATGTATCACTACTTCTTTTTTATACCACATCGCAGCATCAAACAGCTAATGAGCTGTGAGTACAGTCTGTGTGCAAGACCTCGCCCATTAGCCGCAGGGCTTCTTGGGCGTACTTACTACCTACGACTTATCTGACCTGCAGTGCCGACAAAAGGAGGTTTAACTAGATATTGCAGGGCTGTATCCCGAGCTGGCTAAGCAAATCCGCTTCATGCGTTCATGTGGTTGCACTATGCCATGAACAAAATTGTCTGCGTATCATATCGGCTCACTGTTGCCCCACTGTCAAGAAGAACTTATCACAAAGGCTAACTTCTATAGTTGACCTGAGCTGCTGCTTACGTACAGCGAAAATCTGGCTCTCGTCTCTCTCATCTGTCTGGTGTTCTATTGATTCCGGACATCTGGTGTATTCAATGTCAATGGCAAGCAGTCAGGTTTGGTATACTCAGTTCATTGACAGACAACTACTTTGAGAACGCTTTTTGAAGAACGGACACATTATCGAACAAAATTAGGACTGACTCTGAGGATATACTCCGTCGAAATTCTCGACACAAACTGAAGGAAACTCATTGTATGCACTTGAGAACTAGAAATATCTGCACGTGTCTCAAGTTTTGATGAAAACGGTTCGCCTTGTACCCTAAACCACAGGCTCATTGAAACTGGGTCTCGGAGATAAAAAATCAGATCTTGGAAGTTGTGATTTAAAGTGAAATTGACGGCCGGTTTCTAAGATCTCATGAACCCCCTTCATCATAGCATGGCCACAACAAGCCCTCGTGAACAGAAATTATCGGAACTAGACTTTCGTTTATCCCTTTACCTTTTGCGGGGACATTTTGGATTATCTTGAACTCACCGGCAGTAATTTCCTCAAGTACTGCAGTGGGTTTTAATTTGTCGTAAAATTAAGATGTTCTGTGACTGGCAGTTTGTCAAGTACACGCAACTCGTAGCACAATACTGCGCAGCCGAATAGCCTGAACGTTTGTTTAGTTGCTGGAATACCCAATGCGCATCAAAGGGATACATGCAGCTTAGTAGTATTTCAGTGTATGCTTAACATTGCTGAATGCGCAGAGTGTTGTGGTGAGTCATTCGCAAATTTATACAAAAAAATAAAACACTGCAAATCAAGATCCGAAACAGTCCAAATTTAATATGAGAAAGGCAATCCAAACCAAATGCTGTGGGTGGCAAACTACTAAACATTTCCCCAGGTCCGGACTACAATCAACGCTGTCTACCATCCATACTGCATTGAGATGCACGCGTGCGTTTATCGTATGCGTAGGCTTCCATTCATAAGCCACTTCGCTTGTTACTCTGTACTTTGTAGGCTTCTTTGTAGCAAACTGGCTAGAAGATCACTTCGACCATCATTGAGGTGAGATAGAAGCCAGCCGGCAAATATAATGCACAAGCGTAAAATTACTATGAACCTCGACGTTGGAGTAGAACACAGAAGCCAGGAGCCATATGGCTCGGTTACGAAGTTAAGTATTATTGTCAGGGTAAAAATGGAAACGTCGGACGACAATCTGGCCATTGATATTACCAAAGCCGCAGCACGATCGTCAGTTGCCTTTGAGACTCGGTACACGACGTTGCATACCTTTCGTCACAGCGTAGCGATAAGCTTGCAGAACCGTGTGCACTGTCTGAGCTAACGAAATTCCGTTCAGTAGCATACCTTGTGTAGTTGGGTGTTTTAGGTTTTGGCAAAGAACACCATTACGAAGGACTTTTGACTTCAGGTGTTACAGTTACAAACCAAAAATGGAGGCATGACATGTACGGTCCTTGCTATACACTATGACGAAAGCCAGTGTTTGAAATTCCCTTTTCAAGCAGCCTATGAACATATTGAAGTGTTGAAGTGTTAATCTCAGGTTGCATCACATTTTATCTGTTACCGCTTGTCCTGGTAAATTAATGGTGAATCCTAGGTGTTTTTCTACCAGATGTCCTTCGTGGGTTGTGGAAGCATATATCAGACACCAATAAATATAATTTGGTAGCAGTTTGATGCCTATAAGCTCACTGAATATGATGAAGTATACACTACTCAGTGGTTACGTATACTCCGGAAAAATGTTGAAACAGGCGGTAGATTGAACTGTCGCTTTTACAAAATTACTTGATTTCCAATCGACATGTTTACCCTGTGGGTGAATTCAGTCTATATTCCCAACCAAGAAACCTCGTGGAAGTTTTCCTCCTTATTGTGAATCATCAGCATGCATTATACGAAACCATACAGAGGTCTCTCGAGTGGGCACTATACCATTCATCAGCTTGTAACTGATCAAAATTGCAATTAAATTGTATTTAGACAGATTATGACAACCAACTGCCATGTCTGTAACTATACGGGTATACGCAAAACAGGTGAAAATTTCGCGATCCTGATGTTACACGTATACTGAAGTGCATTGGGTAAGTGGTGATGAAACAATTAGAAATGTTTGGTATTCTGTGTGCTGAAACACCATCCTCATCGCATTATACACTTGAATCTAGTTGAGGCAAAAAACAATGCAATATAATACTGCTCACAATTCTCATTGACATCATGACTTTAGATTCCATCAGTTGGTCTGATTAATCAGCACATAAGATAAGAGCATAAAATCAATTCACTAAATTGTCTTCTATTTCTGGCTCGGTTTTCAGGAATTTTTGTGTGGACAACGCCCGTGTTTTCTGCACATGACTGACTAAATTATCTGAAGAGATTGGAAGTGTCCGTGTCGAGGAGTTACCAAGCCACTTCAGTCTGTACCTCCAAATGGGATGAAACATGTGCGTGTAATGTACTGTAAGGCAGGAATAAGGAGGAACGATCTTCAGTGGATGAAGCTAAAATTTCATGCGTTCCACTTTTTCTGACCTGACTGGACTTTGACTGAGAAGAGAGCGAGATTTGTTAACCCACTTGAAGATTGCCTCAAGTCGCGATGCTGCCAGGATTCCCAGACCTGGGGAAAGGGATGGTTAGGATATTCACTTGAAGCTTCTGGTTCAAATGTCCAACCGCAAGAGTGTGTTTGTCAGTTTAGTGCACAAAATATAACTCTTCAAAGTGATTCAGTCCCCCTGTAGTGGATTAGAACACACTCCAACATAGTTTTCTTGAGTTTCTGCAGCTTCTTGTCACATGCAGATGCTGATTATGGACCCATTCTGCACTCTGGCAAACCAAATTCTTGATTTGACTTATCGGTCGGCTAATGCCCCTTTTCCACCAAAATCTGAAGCGATAGCCATCCGGCGACCCAACGCTCGATATTATAGGCCTATGCGTGCAGGCCGTGGACCCACTTCAGTTTTAACCACGTGGAATGATTAGCTGTTGGCAAATGAAATCCTTGCACAACCTCTACATAGTATCTGTAACAGAATTATGACTGAAAATTATCTTGCTTTCTCGCGACTTGGGATTTGGTTCACTTTATAATGATACTGAATGGCGCATAGTGTTTTGAGACTAGCGGTTCCACGGAGGCTGCCTGTATAGAACACCTGAAATTCTCGGAAAAGCCAGTAGTCGAACAATGGAAGTACGGGACTGATTTCCCACAAACTGTCAGTCCAATGGGGTTCATTCTTTGAGCATGAGTGGCAGTCTCAGCAATGCGACCATCTTTACCACATCGTGGCCAAGCGCACAGTGGTCCAATCAATATCCAACACTTCTAACTCTGCTCGATATGGGCCATTCCCAACATTGTCTGCCTATTGATTTTTTCGCATGCCCAGCGTAATACCTAACCGGTTTTGTGAGGCGGAGTTTTTAGTCCGGTGAAAGTTTTTTTGCTTTCACTTTCACTAGTGAAAGCAGAAAAAACTGTCAACTGTTAGCAGATGTTTTTATCCTTGGATGTAGATAAAACTGACATATTCGAAGTGCAAACGGGGGAGAGTCTAGAAACGTCCCACCTAGTCTGACTGTTTTGCGGTACAAAAACAGTACTCGACCATGAGTATTAGCGTTAAAAACAGGGTCACCTGTCAACAGTTTATTCCGGTAACCAGCTTTTCTTACTGCGTCATATTTTCACGGTGTGTGACATGAGAAATTAAAGAGAACCCCGGTGCTAAAGGAGTGTTGTGGCGTGGCTTTCTCAGAACCAAAGCTAAGCTAGAGTAAGTGGGTTGCTACCTCTTGTCAGTATTTATAATTATTTTTTGTTCACCGAGTTTTATATGCTGGGAATGGTACAAATATATGCTTGCCTCTAATAGGTATGACATTCGTAAGTTCGGTGACAGCCTCGTATTCGTAACATTCAAAGTGCAGAGGAAGAAAATGGTGAAAACACCCGGATGTTGATCATTCTTGACTTTCGGCTGCTGAAGTTCATCAAATTATACAGGGTCATATCATCCCAGCCTGGTTGGTGTCTAGCAATGGTCGTGAGTACGTTCATCTCTGTGTTTGCATAATCCGTGCAGATAAAAATCAATCCCTAAAACACTCAGTCAAAGATCCATGCATGGAAATCCCTAGCACAAGAGAATGTCCCTTTGAGAGAGAACCGATTGGAAATTACACTTCTGTGGGGTAGAGGTCTCAGAACCATGAACTGCATCGCTGACAGCTTCGAAACCTACTTTTTGAGCATCGGAACGACAGGTATATCGGAACGTTATTGTGCTGGCATGAACTGCTTGGATTGTATAGCGTTGTAGAACAGGAACTCACTAGTCAAACTACTCCGACTACCTAGTGTTACCTATTGTGTGTTATATAATGTTATATGTTTTCATATATTTTCAATCTGATTTAGTGGTAATTCAGCTTTTAGCTAGAAAGTGCTCGGTTTCAGCACTGGAAATGTCTTTGATGAGAGTCTTTTCCAGTGAAGTGATAATTGGTTTAACGTGGAACCTCATTTTTTCCGATCTTCGAGTCAGATGATAACGTTGATGAGTCATCACTGTTATAGGTCCAAAGTGTGAAAACAGAATCAAAGGCGAAAAGATGAATCCATACCCATAAATTCTCGTTTTCCATATGTCTCATTGAAGTTGGTGCAATCAACGGGATGATACGACGACCGCAATCTCCGTAGCGTCCCATCAAGCTGACGTGAGGTTCGAATGACGACTGGCTTTCGGTCCAACCTGCATCGGAACGAAGTTCCAGCACCACTTTATAGAAAACCACATCTAGTTTCGTGGAGTCCTCGGGATCCACAGATTGCAAACCTTTTGCGATGCAACTCTTTAGTTCAATGGCTAGATCATCCATTACCTGTTCACGAGCAAGTTGACAAAAGGTCGAAGTTCTCCCAAAAGGTCGACCACTGAAGTCAAACGATCGCTTTTCGCCACTAACGAAATTCTCTAGGACAACCTACAATGGAATGAAATATGTGCCAAGTGGTACGTTTTAACTCTTGTGCTTTGTAATAATGTGTTATTTAACATATGAAAATTCAATTTTGCCTTTCTCTAAGCCCCCTCAAACAGATTTTCTGGAAGCTCTCTATAGAGGGTTGCTGGCAGCGGAGCAGACTAGAGAGCAAACTATGGCCAACCAGCATAGCACAGTATCTCCACGCAAATACACCCAATTATTACAGTCTGCCGTCGAATCATGAGTACATTGAACTTTAATTTAGGTTTCTGCCAAAAACTAGCTTTCTCATTGAGTATCCACTTGCGTTCCGATGTTTGATAACGTTACAGTGTACTGGGTCGGTCAGCTGCCTAACGAACTTGATCACGTGAGAGATTTTGCACACGCAACCATCTCACGTGAATTCACGACATAATGAGATCATTAGATTTTAGCCAATGTGACCTACCCAGCAAATGTTCGGAAAGGTGCCGTTGCAACATTTCGGGCGGTTCCCGCATGAGTTCCCTAAGCCTTGTTTTGTTGCGTGTCTGAAAACCATGACAACTGTTTCTGTGCGACCAGAATTTCATTTCAGCAGTACCGGTCAGCATACTAATGAACTATATTAGTTGGAAAATATGGTGAGCAGTTTGTGGGCGCTTTAGTGCGCCCACTCTGTAATTCACGTTGCACTAAAAAAAAAACAGAAAAATCTCAATGATTTTACAAGAAGTATTCGTGTGATAAATTAGAACTGTTTTGCATTGTTAAACCTAGTGGTTGGGTGAAGTGGGTACCAATGACAACTACTGGTTTTGTACCATGTACAAAAACTCTAAGCTAACAAACTGGTGATGAAAAAACTATCCATAATAAAGCTAAAATCTATTTAACAGCCCATGGCCGGTTGCATCTTTCTCCGTGCTGATCAGTTAGGTGCTCATGGCCTTTTTAAACCCGAAATGTGCAAAACTTTCGGAATAAAATAATTTTACACAGCATTTTGGTTTTTACGAGAGACTCAGCTGAATCCCCCGTTCATACTATTCTTCAAATGAAAGTGTTGCTGACACAAAAGTAGCACTTAGTAGTAGTATTTAGTCACTCTGAGTGGAACGAAAAACCTCAAGATCGGAATCATCCAGACATTAAAAATTATCTATAAAGTGTGCTGCTGTCAACAAGCGTCAAAGGGCATGTCAATACTTGTCTTGATCCGGCGAAAGAGTCACAAACGACACAATTAAGCACTTTTAGGTTAAAATGAGCAGTAAGAAATCAAAATAGGCTATAACCTGATCAAAATGCTCCGGACTAAGTTGAAAACCGTAGAAATAAGGTGAACTCTCCCCATTCTTCGAAATGGAATGGCAACTACTACCAATGATAATAGCATTGATGTAACGGCGATTCCCTCTGCTGAGCTTCTACTTGTATTCCAATGAGCAGCCAATTGAAGTTATGTTTTCCGGCCATTCAATGATCTTATTGCAGTGATCTGTTGTTCTTACTCGAGTCAACAACACTGCGCTTTTTTGCCCGTTTGCGTAACTGTACTGTAGGGATTCAAGCGTATAGAGCCTATTCTCGCTCGGGAGCACTCACCAAGACACTCCAGTGTGAGTGGTCATTGGGTTGAGACGTATCAACTCGCTGGATTACCGGAGCGCCCTGTGGGCGAAAAATTCGGACAGTTCAAGTAGTAGCAACTAACAGCTTAGCAAACCCGTTGTCACCTCGTATACTGAACCACCAATGGAAATGCGGCGGCCCCATGCATAGTTGAATAATTGGATAAATACAGATTCTCTGGCTTGATAAAAAGCCACCATCAGAAATATTATTTGAACGCACAATCAACTCAAACGATCTTACTCGGTAACGTCAATCACAACAAGACTCTAACGTGAACAAATATCGTCCTCAATATTATGGGAATGAACCAAAATAATTCTTGGAGAAAGGGAGAAAGAAAATCCACTATTTTTGAGAATTATCCATCTTTTGGAAGATCGCTTTCAAGCTAAAAATGAACCACGCAGATATATGGCTCTTGAAAACTGGTTCTAAACCACACCCTACTTTCTCGATCAAACGCAGCGAGTCAATCTGGGAATAAATGCGGAGCAAACTTATTGGCTCTGCCTACCTCGTCTGTCAATGACATATACGCTCCACCAATTCCACTGCACTTTTCTGTTTTTGTTTTAGCCTTGAAAACATGCTAATGTTATTCATATTGCCCGAACTCCTAGAAAGAAGGCTTTCTTTATCGGACGTCTGTTTTAGTCGCCAAGAGGAAGGCGAGCTTGGAAACGCTTTTGAAGGCTGAAGGTCGGCTGGTGGTACAAGAAACGGAGACTTACTTCCAGGATTTCCCATTCAACAGCCTCCTGTGGATCCAAAGGACTAAGTTCTAGTCGAACTTTGAAGATTGGCTCAAGTTTCTCAAGCACAACCTGAAGTCGAGAGTAGAATGGTGGGCGGCTTTTAATATTGTGCTGCGCAAACAAAAGGACATCATCACATTAGTTACCACAAGCCAGTTTATTTTTCTTCGCGACAAGAATCTCACGGATCAGATCTTCAGGCGAATAAGTGCTTGCATGCAAATCATCCGCAAAGAGGCCACTTGCGGGATGGACACCCTGGAATGAACTTTTCTGTGGATGAAATCTAACGAACAAACACGATCATTTGCACCAGGTGAATTTCTTGTCCGAGATGTTTTTATTTTAAGAGGCGTAAATAATGAGATCTAATCTCGTGGTTGACGGGAACCTTGTAGCCGAAGATGAGTAAAGCTGTCCGAGTTCTTCCGCTTTTACCGCAGTGAATTTTTCCGCTTTTCGGTGGCCTAGTGCGTCTGTAACTGAGCCAGTCAAATGCAGAAATGTGACTCGTAAGGAATGGTTAACTTTTGTACTCTCTTAGAGAAGAAGACAGGATGTGCTCTCAAAATCATTCAGATTCGACCAACAGGCATTCTCCAATTCTCCACCTTGTCCCAGTATCGTTTTCTAAACTCGGCACGACAAATGTACGGCGTTGGGTGTTGATCTAATTGCCGGACATGGCAGTCAATTTGCAAACGTCTCATCGATCACGAGTGCTATCAGCGTGTAAATGTTTGGGTATTCCAACTTTTCCAACTTAGCTATAAATGGTTTTGCAAGGGTGACTGACTGAGTAGCAGCTTTCTCGTAGAGTTCTTGGTTTGTTTCCAACTGGAGTTCCATTGTGGGTTGTTTAAGTAGTATGCGATTTGTGGATAACAAGGACTACGCAAAGCGACTCATAACCAATCACAACGACTTATCGTTATGCTCTTTGATAACCACACACGCCAGTAAGGAGGAACTACCCAACCAGCAACGCACCTATGATAACGAAGGTACCGATTTGTAACGGAACGTTCACAACGTGGTAGTGAACCTCAGGAAAGGGAAGTAACGGTAAAAAAACGAACCCAGCTACTAATATTATGGCATGACTCTGTATGACGTCAACCGACAGCGCCTCACTCGCGTTAATCTGCCGACCAAGTCAGGTCGATTCTAGTAGCTAGGACTGACTGTTGAGTTTCTTCTTTGGGAGTAAAACTTTTATTTAGACGCGATTTTTTCGAAGAGGAAATTCTCATGAATACTCCTCACTACAACATGGTATTCGCCACGCTGTTTTTCCTTCACGTGAGTTTCCCATTAATGAGAAGTAGTATAACTCCCCGAACAAGCTGAACTCTAGTACAGAGCTTCCTCAACCAGAAAACAACAGATGCGGGATGGACGAAACGTCATTCGCAACTCGCACACTATTACTGTTTGCTGAAATTCATTTCGCTCAAATATCCCGATTGTTTGAAAAAAGAGCACAGTGACGAAAATTAATATTTTCGGGATCTCGCTATCAGGTCATTACATATCTAATGGTTAAAATAGGAGCGAAAAATGAACTACGCAGCGAAGATTGGTTAGTGAAATGCAAAACGTGGAAACATGAACGAGTGGTTGTCTGAGCCTTCTCTCATGTCACATCTAGTTGGATGCTGTGAGAGTCTAGATGGCCGTTGAGTGTTTTGACCGTCTGATTCGTGTCAGACGACCAAGGCAGACCCGGCGTTCGTACCAAACGTTTTTGACAGCATAGTACCGGGTTTCGCAGGCTTATAGCGCCTGCCTGGGTTGTAGTCAAGCAAGACCGTTATTGCAAGCGCTCAAAAGGCATCTAATCGTACTCGTGAAACAAAATCATGTATATCTGTGTATATTGTTTGATAAGCAAGCGTACGCCGAGCTTCATCGTGCTGAGGATTATGCCGTACGAGTCACCGGACAAGAGTGAAACTCAGGCATCCTATATTGAGTTTACCTCGATAGACTTGCGTATGGACACATAAAGTCCACTCGAATGTGACACTGGTTGTTGAGTGCATTCAGGTTCGGACATGATCACAATTTTTTAAATCACTACCAGTAAAAAATTCCAAAAATATCCGTTCAAAATCCCAACCACTAGTTTCCAGGCCAGAATCTCTATCTGCGAGAACTCACCATGAAGTTGTCAGTGCTATCCTCCTGAAACAGCTCTTTCTCATCACCTGTTTGTCCAATTAAAATAGGACCAGAGTTGGACTGGAAACCGTACACCACTAGGAGAACACTGCAGTTTCTCGCGGCATACACGGTCGTAATGGACACCTTCCAGTCATTTGCTGTAAACAGAAACAGAGCAAGTTTCATCTTTGGTAATATATCACGTGCTTTTCTACACCTGAAAGCACATCACAAACACGGTACGAGTTGTTAGAAGGGTTTCACCTTGTTGAATCATTTTTATAAGCACGGCTGAACACAACATTTTGTAAACTCGATCCCGCAAGCAAGCGACAAACTAGAAATGCTGTTCATTGTGACCGTGTTCCGTGGGTATTCTCAGAACCCAACACATCAGCGTGAGCAAAACATGGGCTTTCGCGATTGGCAGGCATATTCGAAAAATGAGAAACTTTTTATGCTCGAAAAGGACGTAAAAAGCCCAAATTCTTGGATCTCTGCTGCAAGAATTTAAAACACCACGTTTCTTTCATCAGTTTGATACAGCCAGGGTAAACAAGACTTCGAAGTGGTTTGAAATTACCACTTCTACTTTATAGATCCCAGGATGTGGACTGTTTGTTTCCCAACGACCGTGCCTGTCTCATATCGGTGCTTCAAAAACCGAGGCTGGTCAACTAAACAGAAGTCAGTCATGATTTTGACACTGACAGAACCTATATCGCTTGTGAGCCGGATCGAATTCATGAAGCCTAGCATTATAATGGCCGAACGTACTCACAAACACTCGTTCTACACAGAAAGGCTGAGTCTGTATGTGGCTGTATTGAAGGTGCAATAAGCATTTAAAACTACACCAATTCAGTTTGGTGTTCAAGTATGTGATAGAGATCAAGTTGGTAGTGATGCTGTCCAATAACAATGGTAACACAAACGTGCACAATCGACTTACGCGATATATCTTTTAGATTAGCTCCTTGAGCAGAATCTGGACTAGCATCCAGGTCCTCGTCATTTACGATTGAAGAGATTGCTGATTCAGTCATTTGCAAGGGCCACGAGCCCTTGACAGAGTCTTCGGTCACCAACTGCTCATCTTCAGTTACATCGGACTTTACAGGGACGTTCTTTTGAGCTTTCTTCACGGTTGGCGCTTCAGACGTTGGTTTGTGAATTCCGTCTGGAGAAAATTATGAGATGTAATGTTGCACGTATTACCATTTGTTATCCACTAGAATGCATAACTGTGAGGTTTTGGCCTAAAAAAACCTAGAATGCATAGCTGTGAGGTTTTGGCCTGAAAAATTACTCAAGACAAGCGTATCTGTTTGAAACTTTCTTGAAGGCGGTTTCTAAGGGCCAATATGATAAGAGTACTATGGCGACGGTATCTATTCGGAAGTAAACGAGCTTTTTTCAAGGACAGCCATGCGTTGTTTGGTCTAATCCCAGTAGTGTTACCTTAAATTTTATGTTAGATACACTTCATTCGAAGACGTGGTACGTATGCAGTTTGTTGGTGTGCACACTTGTGGTTATCAAGTCGAACAGCTTAATTGACATGAAGGTCAAATACTCATCAGGGTGAAACAGCAGGCTGTCCGGACTGTAGACATGACTGTACTAGGCTGGCAATGGTAATAGTATGGATTAAAGGAATTAGAAACTTCCATTTGCCTTTGCATCAGCAGTAATTCTGCAATCGTAGAACAGGAACTAATTTGGATCTCTGGTTTGCAGTTATTTTTGGCGGATGCTCAGAGCTTTCGAAATGGACGAAATCTGAACAGACTTATAACGCTAGGTAATCTCAATACAGGCATATATTGGCCAAACGAGTTCGTTACCTAGTTCCCTTCAGGGACGATGATGTGTCGTTTATCTGGGCTCTAGTTAGGTGAATACACTTCACTTGAATACACTTGACTGTGTGCGTTGGTATCTTTCAGGAATCAAAATGTCCAAACTTTATGTCGATTCAGACTACTGTTAAACAGCATTATTCTTCCGTGTTCAACGACACACCGTTGTTCCTGTGTCTTCAGTGCCCAAATAAACTTTTGGTGATGATTTATACAACAAGTAATAAAATTAAGGCACAGGATGATGATAACGGCAGTCAAGAAGATCGGACAACTGCACCCGGGAGGCTGTGACTGATTTTATGAAAGCAATCAGAATAGAAAAGAGCTGGTAGTTGGAAAAAGGAAGCTGTTCCTGGGTTTTATTGCCTATCCGGATAGTCAAGTCAAGAAACTGCAGCAAAATGATGCTCGAAATGATCTGATTAAGCAACTCAGGCAGACGAATGGTGAAGAAGGAAAAGTTAGTTGATCGAGGAACTTGCTGGTCGGCGGAAGCAAAAAGTACTTTACGACTTAGTTAAAGCCATCTATGGACCAAGCGTCGAACCCACCGGAACCCTCCAGGAAGCTGACACGGGCCAAAGCGGACGTTAACTGCAGAAATATCGCATATATGTTACAAGATCTTCAACAAAGTGCCAAACCAGCATGTGAGTGTCGACTGGATTAGGCTACCTCAAAGGGAGATGGAACTATTCCTGCACTCTCCTCTGACTATAAAATGGATAAGGCGAGCGAACATACAGCTGCGAGATAGCACAACAGCTGGAGAAGTCATGTCTGCAGCACAGCTGTTCAGATAATGTGATTCAACTCTCGGAAGTGAACTTTCCCAAACTAACTATTACGACTTCGCAGGAGGAGGAACTCCAGCCTAAATCCAGGGAAAAGGAAACAGTATTCCATCTGACAACTACAGAGGCTCAGTCTACTGAGCTGAGCGGGCTGGCTTCTGGCGTGAGTGCCCACCGGGCGGTTGACGACTCAAGTGACCGACACAACTTTCCGAAGAACGAGAGGTAGTTTAGATATCCTATTGTGAAGTCTGGTTTGGCTCTCGTCAAACTCGAGACTCAGGTGTCAGGGTATCGGAGTCTGCGAAGGAAGACAAAGCTGCACTTCTATAGGGCAATGGTGTTGTCTGTCCTTTTGTATGGTAATGAAACACCGACGCTATGCCAACACAACCAGGTACTTGAGCAGCTTGGTGGCTGATGATCTGTTCATTGAGCTTGGCAGCTTTCACATATGGATGTTAAATGTACACTGGACTGAACGAGTATGAGATTGATGGGTGTGTTGTGAAGAAATGAGGCCATTGTAAAGTTCAACCGTTTATGGTATATAGGACACGCTTGCCTAATGGGAGGCAACAAAATTCCAAGGCAGCTCTTTTGTGGTAAGCTGAATACGAAGAAATGGGAACCAGTATATGAGAGTTTCGACAGTTGAGTACTCTGGTCGGAAGTCTAAGAGATGCCGACGTAGATCTCGTTAAATGGATAGTGGAAACACGAGACAGGGTGGATAGAAACAATATAAACTGGAGTTCGTCTGTTCAGCGATCGCCAACTTCAAGCCAAAGGACTGAAACGTGGGAGACAAAATATCTTCAAAACTATCGAACGCAGACACTGAACAAGCTAGATTTTCATTGACTGTGGCCGCGTTTTGCTTGTCACATTAGATTGACCAGCCACCAGACGACACAGTGGTTCATCACCAAAACGGTGGATAATGTAAGTTTATCGAATTTGCCTTAGCTTCCAGAGGTTATCAGCTAGTTGAACCTAAAATCCACTCTATATACTTGCATGTATCCTGAGTGGTGCGCCCCACGAGGCGCATTGTAGGGCTCGATTGTCAAGTTGTACATAGCTGGATAGGCTACTATAGGCCACCAGTTCGGCGTGCTAATGACTTTAGAACGATCTCCTTGTCCTCTCTCCTGTCCTGTCTCCTCGAGTTTACACCGGGTACAGGACGGTCAGCTGGATGCAAATGCAGCTCAGTGCAAACCGCACGTGGCATTGCCCATTGGATTTACGTGTTCAAGTAGGTAGTTCGATATAACAGGCCGAACCGGAAACAGATGCTACTCCATGATCGTTGCCGTCACGGTTAAGTTCCGTTGGCTGAAGTTTGTTTCGCCTGGAATCGAACAGGGATTGTCGGGACGGATTTTCAGCCAGCTAGCAACTCGGCGACTAACCAAATGATCAAAGTCACTTCGCTCAGCACGTGTTCACAGTCATCCGGCCCAGGATATCTTTAAGTTCGTTCCACACTGCATACGATTTCTGGCTGACGTTTGACTTTTTCACTTCGCGCATACTCAAACTGACGTCTTGAAACTGTGATATTGTGGAACTCTGATGTTTTGACACGGAAGCGTTTTCGAATAAAGCGTTAAGCGCCTGCTAACTACCCTTTGTTCGTAATCCCTTTTGTCTTTCGGGTATTTTTAAGTGCATTCGTAACTGTTTACTTGCCCCACCCTAGTAGTCTGACGACCCTCTGCTTTCTCGGCATGCAGTTTTGGCCGTCCCCGTAAGTTCATTTGAATGAACCGACTAATAACCCCTCAATTCTCACACAGAAGCCGCCACAGTGACGGTAACGACCTTCATTACAGCTCTTCGAATAGCCACAATTTGCTATAACTGACCAAGTATTCTTGTTAATGCCGCACCTGAAACCCTATAGAAAGCTGGGCCGGTGGGGTGCGTTATACTGTTCCCGATTTCACGGCATGTTGATAGGAGAAACTGTGACAGCGTTTGCTACACTATCGTCTAGTGAATGACATTCAACCCTTGTGGCGTTATTGGACGGAGGTAGACATTCTACAAGAACTAACTTGGTTTAGTTATCGTGAAAATTCCCCTCAGAAAGAAGAGAGAAAATGAGTCACATTAAGACATGGATGTGTAATTTACCGTACACATATCATGAACAAATTTTCAGAAAGAAGGATAGGCAAATATAGTAAAAGTAGCGATGGCCGTTGTGTCTAGTGGTAGATAAGACTTAGAGTCGACCAATAAAATCGGTCTCCCTGGGCAGCGGTAAAGATGTTAATCGACCCAGAACTTGATTTAACTAATAACATGACTGATAAAAACATCTTAGCTTTCTTCCACCGGTCAGACAGCTTCCCTGGAACTTGAAGAACACTCATTGGAAAAAGCTTGGCATCTAATCAGAAGTAAAGCATCGGTGATCCTTCTTGGAGAGTGATGTTTATAGAGTCCAGAAAGAAAATAAATCCAAATTAGTATCTTTGTGTTTCTCTTTGTCATGAATTTTGGTGGATTTTTTTACATTTTAGCAATGATCTGAGCACCAATTCTTCACAAGAACACACTGATGGTGCATTCTTGAGCATCGAACAAGATACAAAAGATACTCAGAATCCAAATGCGGTTCACTTAAACATGGAATGATGACATTTCGCCTATCCCAGATTTATAAAATATACAAAGTCGATTTAACTGGTGACTATATATTCCGGGAGAGCCTTCAGTCGTATACACTAAATCATCATTGAGATCGAAACACAATCGACAGGCATGGACCCTCCATCAATCTACATTTAGCCCGAATTGTGCTTAAGTATATGAATACGAAGGCCGGCTGCAGGTCGCATATGACAAAGACACCGAAATTTGTCCATAACAACAAAACGCCGTGAAGAACAAAACATCTCACAGAGCTACGCTGCAGAGCGCTACTTGATAATAATTCTCTATCACGGTGAACCAATCCTTAGACCCATTGCAGATGACCGATCAATCTGGTGTATAGAGCAATCGTCTCAACTCTGGGTATGGCTTATTCTCAAGGTAGTGATGCGGAATAAAATCGACAACATGAGTTTACACTGTAACGGAATATCCGATCGATGGTTCTTGGCCGGTTAAAACCTTCGGAATCTCAAACACGCGCTGGGGTGACCAATCGATGGAAGAAAGCCTATATCACACCAGTCGTGTCCTTTCATGCTTACATGCGTCAATATGGCATTTATATCCTACGGTAATCAAACTGTGGAATGTTCTTCATTATTGCACAGATCGAGAACTGCTTTCTCCCTTAAGAAATTGCATTCAGATTTCGCCGAGTCTTCCAGATTAGTGTGCTACATACGCCA